TCATAATTTTTATATTATTTAGTGTTAAATGTAGCCATTGCATGCATGCATACAAGTACAGTATCGGTTGAAATATGTGCATTTTATGATTTCGTTTACAGTTTTTAAGTATTATTATGTTTTGATTATGTTATGAAAAATATTGAATAAATTTTATTAGAATTTTTTAAAAGAAAAATTATAAAAGCCTTTCTTGGGATGGCCTTCAGCCAGAGAACATAAAATAAAAATTAAAAAAATGTATAAGAGATATAGAAATCGCATGGCATAAATAGAATTCATTCCTCGGTTGGTCAACTATATTCCCTGGTAGATGACGTTAACAAATCTGTAATTTTACAGATTCCGTTCTGTTAAAATCAAAACTATGTTAATCGTTGTGAGAAGATTTTGAGATTTTGTTTTATATCTTGGATCGACTAAAATCAGATTCCACGGAGCGGCAAATTCAGTTTGGGGAACATGAAATTCTCATGGAATATAATCTGCTGAATAAGGTACTTGATCGATGGTATTTATTGCATTTGTGGCTTTAAATTCGGTCACAATATTGGCTCGATGCGATGGTGCATTATCATCGTGTAAAATTCATGGTTTGTTCCTCCATAATGCCGCTTTCGACGGATGTTCTCACTCAAATACCTCAATACGGCCAAATAGAACTCTTTCATGACCGCCTGCCATAAACTTCGAAAAAAAAAACAATGAGCATTACCTTGATTTTGGGCGGCTTTAGAAGGGTCGCTTTAGTTTCGGCTCGTGTTTGTCCGTCCATTCCGATGTTTAAACTTGTCGGCAGTTATAATACCCTCCATTAATGTGGAATCGGAATTCGCATGATCAAGCAGGTCCAAAGAGACCTTTTCGAATTTTTGAAAAAAAGTCCTTTTGAAAAAAATTCAGTTTTATAGACGAGCTGCGCAAGAAAGAGTTGCATTCYCAAAATCTCTTGCTATCTCTTTAACACTTGCTTGTTCAAGCCACATACCATTCACATTTTTAATATTTTTATCAGTTGAAATGGTCGAAGATCGTCCCGAACAAGACATGTCTTCAACGATCTCTCGACCATCTTTGAATTCTTTGTACCACTGGTAGGCTGTGTTTTTCATAAAACTGAATCACCGTAAGACTTTTCCAACATTCGAAACGATTCCGCACACGAAATTTGGTTAGAAATACCAAATTTGAGACAAATTTTTTGTTTGACCGTTCGACCATATGCAATGCTGGAAATTGCTCAAAAATATAAACTCAAATACGGATAGTTTCATAAAAGTCATAACCTCAGAGAGCCCCATATCTAAATCAAATATCTAGTCATCTCTGGACATAGTAATAGCTCGAAAAGTAGGAAATATTATATTAATAATATTAAATTAGGCCAGGGTTGCTGAATAGTTCATGTAATCATTTTATAAAAGTTGAAATTACTTTAATTGGAACAAATCTCATAATGACTCAATAATATATTTCATTTTTTGATATATTTTATTAACTTTTTACAATACTTTTACATAGTCGATAATTAAAAACTTTTCTATCGCATTATTTTTCTAAAAATTTCTATATTTTTTGCAATATATATATATATATATGTAATTGTATTCCGATATAACATGTATGTATGTATGCGTGCTTATTATAAAAATAATATTAAAGCGACGATGTGTTCCAAATATCATAACGGTATGCGGTACTCTCGCTTATCATAGAAGTTTAACATAACAAACACCTCAACACGCTTTTAAATATAATTTTTAAGTAACGGCAAATTATTTAATTTAATTTAATACTTTAATTGAATTGTAAATTAATATAAATTAAATATAATCAATACATGAAATCACGAAATAAATTATATATATTTTTTGTCAATTTACTTTTGAAAAAAATATAAATATATGTTTATCATGCAACTCTGCACTGAAACAATATAAAATGGATTTTTTGTTTCAAATTGATTTTTTGTTTTTCTTTCACTTTTTTCAAATGTTGGAAACGTCTGTGGTGTTGTTATATGATTTTTCACTTTATTGAAAACTTTCAGTTCGAATGTTTCTATTACCAGTTTGAATTCCAATTTATAGATTTATAGCGTTGCAGCAGTAGTTGTTTGTATTGAATTGTAGTTGTAGTGGCAGTTATAATAGTTTTTTTTTTTAATAAAAACTTCTACTAAACCCAATTGGATGCGATGGACAAAATTTGAAATTATCACATAAACAAAAACAAAAAGAAACATCAAATGATTTTATACATAAGCCATCTCAAAATTGACCACTGTTGAACGTACACCAATCCAATTAAATACAAAACCCATTTATAAAGTGGTAAGTACTACACACGAATAAGTGATTTTTTTCTTTTATTTGCACTTCTTCATATTTTGTTATTTTTTTTTATACTTAGCCATTTTTAAAAATTTTTTAGATAAAAATTATTATTATTTTTTTTGTTTTTTAGGGCCATAAAATATAATTTGAGTAGTATGAGTATAAAGGCTGATCCATTTCTAGGTTCCATCTTTAAAAAAGAAAAACACAGAAACTTCTAATTTTATAGGAAATAATTATATTCATTCGAAAGAACATTCTCTAGCATTTATTTTTTGAAGACTATCTCTTTCAAATGTTGGCCGCGGCTACGTCTCAGATAGTCCTTCCGTTGCGACTAATTTTCGATGGCTTGTTCGAGCATTTCGACTGGTAACTGGCGTATAACACGCCTGATGTTTTTCGCCAAGGTCTGAATCGAAGCGGGATTGTCCGCATAGACTTAAGACTGTACATATTCCTAGAGAACAAAGTATGACGGTGTGATATCACACGATCTTGGTGGCCAATTTACTGACACAAAACGTGAAATTCTCTGTTCATTGAAGTATTCTCTTAATAAATCCATTGATTGAAGCGATGTGTGGGAAGTCGCGCATGTTGAAACCAAATATCGCTGAGGACACGAGCTTCAATTTCAGCCATCAAATAGTCAATTATCATAGCGCATTAACGATCGCCATAAGTTAAGATGTGATAAATAGATGAGGATTGCAACGCGATCTAAGATCTATTGTGCCCTTTCCTAAGTCACAATGAATCACTTTGTATGGAATAAAGTAAAATTCTAATATACTTCTATGTGCTACTGAGATAACATGATTCTTATTTGGAAACATAGTTCCAAGGGCCTTTATCCTGCGTCTGCAGACCGATATTCAGGCAATGAGCAGGTGTATTTTAATTTCAGGCTCCCTGTCGCAGAGCTGACATTTTGCACAATTGGCCTATATTTTATAAGTGCATCTTAAGCTTACAGTAAGCAGTTTAGAATTCAGCAAGTAGGTTAAGTTTATATCTAGGGAGGTTGATTACTTATTTAAATCTGTTGAGATTGTAAGCAACATTAGGAACTTGGCATGAAACATGCCTTGGAGTTGTTGGCAATACCTCTCTCTGCCTACTCCTTATTCCTTGGGAGCATCTCCTTTATGATATGAGGCCCAACGTGATGAAGGGTTCAGGTTCTATCATGTTAATGGATGCTGCGGAGCGAGCGAGCTCATCAACCAGATGACGTTTACGTTCTCATCGGCATAAGTTTTGGAAAAAATATGGGCCGATGACTAAATCTCTCTATCGAACGGCTTTAGTTCTTGCACGCTCTCGTCAGTCCGAGTTGCTGCGAACTGCTCCGCATCGACTCTCCACAGTCTTCTTTGTAAAATCTCAGCTACGGCTGCTATATTTTCTTCAGTGCATGTTGGACGTGGTCTGTTTGGTCTAATTTTGTAAGTGCCGCATCCTCAATTCCTAAAATGTACTAAATGGGCCTAATAGACAAGATCAACAAATATTTTGATATCAGCGTCATCTATCAATGTTGCCGATACAAAAATATACATATTGTGAGTTCATATTTACAAATTAGTTTATTCTTTAACTTCACGACTACGTCGGTTCACATGCGATTCAAATAATCAGATAAAAACAAGGAAAAGTTAATTTCAGCTATAACAAAGCTATAATACAATTCACAAATATATTTCATTTTTAAAATGGGGATCGCAATGTGACTACTATATATAGCTCTTAGCCATACGTAGATGGTAGCCCAGTGCCTGCTAAGCTTCCGCGAAGCTCAAACATCCGGTAGTGGAACACACAAGGTGAGATGATACTCCTTGCTATGATATTATCATTTCGTAAGCCTTGCCTTGGAGGCACGGTTAGCCAAGTCAAGTCTACTGCTGCCGTCTTACTATCGGCATAGATAGGCACTTCTGGCTTCACTCTGGAGCAGTCTAGCACAACAACCTGTGAAATAGTCAGTAGTCAGGAAATCTGAAACTGAAGTCGATAGAAAGTTCCTGACAATTTAAGAATGGGAAAAATACGCCAGAAAAGCTTCTGACCAATATCTTTAAAACTAAGGACTAATACTAACTAAGGATAATAATACTATTCTTAATAATTTCATTTTTTGTGGCTAGTCAATGCTCTTCCTTGATCAATCTTTTAGCATTATTATTATTATTTTTTTTTTTTTTTTTTGTTAAGCAGTTAATTTTGTCAACTCATTCAAAAAATATTGGCGTAAATGCAAATTAACGTTTTGTTTAATCAAAAGTGAGCAACGCTGACACACACATCACTGTTTACGTTCCACAAGTACTAACATTCAAACAGCACCTCACTAGTGGCGCACTAACACACGCACAGCATCTGAACATCATGAAAGAGTTTTCTAATCTGCATATGTAAATAGATTTGCAATAATTATGCAGCACACACACAAAACAGCCACCCACAAGCGCATGCCACATGCCACATACCACTACTACTTAATGCCACCATCAACAAGTTGTTGTTGTTGACGTTGTTGTCCAGCAACGCTTCGATACATACTTACATACATAGCCCATGTAGCGTCATTGTGTCGAATGTGTCAAATTAACTCAACATTTCTCTTGCATTCTTTGTCAATTTGATTTGCCATTGCAGGACTTCAAGGAGTTCACCGATGCCGAGGGTGTAATTTCGCTTCCAACGTCGGACTTCCACAAACCCGTTTGCCTGGAGATGCGTATGGCCGCCAATCAGGCGAACCGACAATTGCGCGCCAATCAATATGGTTTGCTGGCCCCACCTACGCACATGGCCGGTCAATTGATGCCCACGTCACAGCCACAGCTGGTCGGCGGRTTAGCTGCCACGACTGGCGACGCGCATGCCGAAGTCATTTTCTCGATTGGCGGTGGTGGTGGTGGCGGCGTTCTGCGTACACCACGCCATCTGCCCCACCACACTGCCACTGGCCTTGCGCCAATTGCATCGCAATCATCGTCCACCTCGTCATCATATGGCACCACTACGTCCACAACAATTGCGCTGCCACTGGACACACCATTCCGTTACCCACCTTTCATCACCAGCTGTAGCAACAATAATTTCAATTACAACTATAATAATAATTTCAATACAACATCGGTGGGTGCGTGTCCGGGTCTATCAATGGCCACCGGTAATGTTGCGCTGACATTGGGTAGCAATTTGAATAACAACTTCAATGTCAATATAAACAATAATAACAATGCCGATTTGGCGAGCGTCGATAGTTCGGACACGTATGCCAGCTGCCAAACACATCCATTTCATTCACAAGGTGATCTCACTGCCGATTTGGCCGACGAGGCGTGCGCGCTGGACATTGACATGGATAATTTGTACATAAATCCATTGGAAAAGGAGACGACAACCTCGACCGGCACAACCGGCTACATCGTTGGACTGCCACCGACCGGTGCTACCGGCTTGACAGCGTTGGGACTGGCGCGTTCGCAGGTGAAGAAGAGCGCTTCTGGCGATACGGCACTGCGTAATTTGGCCGCTGGCGGTCTGAGTCCCATGGATGAGATATATCAAAATTTCGAAGTGCAAGAGCGCGGTAGTCGCGTCAGTCTCAATGAGAATCCAGTGCCAAAACATCGTAAGACGCGTTTCCAAAGCTTCACATCGATGCCAAGCGGAGCCGGTGCAACGAATAAGCCGCGTGCACGTTTCGAAGAGGTCAAAATCATACAGGACGGTGTGAGCGGTAGCCACGAAAGTAGTCCGGCCAGCAGCGGGAGTAAAAAGAAACGTTCCTCTTTTATGCCCGGTAAAAGTTTAGCCACTGCCACCAAGCTGATCAATCAGCATCTGTTCGGTATACAGAATGTTGGACAAAAAGGTATGACAAAGCACTCAACACTTAAAATCTTCTTCCGCTATATTGCCTAATTACTTTGCCACACTATCATTGCAGCGAAATTCGAAAGTAAACATTCCTCCTCGATAGACTCTATCGATGCCTCACCAAATCTCGAACAACATCGCCGCTCCAAATCGATACTCAAAAACAAGTCGGATATCTCGCGCGTACTTGCCGACCCGGAGAGTGAGCGTCTACTCGCCGACAATATGTCGGGTTCGGGTGTTTCCGACAACGGCACTGTCATGGTATTTATTAAAATTACTTAGTGCATAAACATGTCTACGGTACAACTAATCGAAATTCAGTTTTGCTTGCAGGGCGAATCTGGCAGCGATTACTCACCGAATAAATTACCTCACTCAATTTTAGCCAAGTCTATTTCCCCACCACCATTACGGCATCGCATGCTAATACAGCAACGCTCCGGACCGGCGAATCTACAGTCGCGTCCAACCAAATTCCAAACACCACGTTATCCCGAGGAGCAGGCGCTACGTCAAGTCAAACCGATGCTGGCGCGTGCTTCGGCCACATCGCATATGTCCGGCGACAGTCGTTACGATTCGACTAATAGAGATAGCAGTTTAGGTAAATAAACGTCCGTAGTTTGCCAATACGAATACTGGTAAAATTACTGCGAAAAATGTACCGTTATTTGTGTTCTTTTACAAAGAAAAAAATCACATATGTATGTGTATTTACTTACGAGTATTACCATTAACCAGTCATTTTCGAAGCCGCATTATAAATCCTTATAAATCTCATCAATATACATTCGTCATGTTGAGTCTCCATTGTGCACAAGGGGCAACACCGCATGTTAGCCATAGCCGTAATCGCATTCCGAATTGAAGTCGTTCTTCGGTATGAAAAATTCCAAAATTCTATCGCTTTTAGTACAACGCTTAAATTAGAGTTGTCCGTTTTTTTTTTTTTTTGTGTTTTTTTGCAAATCACTTCAATACACAAAGCTTCCGTACAATTTGGCTTAAAAATATATGTTTCAAATTCGTAAGCACCAATTGGCACTTAAAGCTTAAAAGCACGAAGAGCATATTTTTTTTTTGATATTATAATGCAAATATGACATATATTCTTGAGATAAATAACGAATTGGTTAGACAAAAATGAACCTCAAAATTTAAATTTAAAATAAGGCTTGTTCGGTTTAAACTAACTCTTAGGCACCATTTGCTAAATCGAAGTAATATTCATAAACCCACGTCTGTTCACCAGTTATGACGCGTTTTATGAATGAAATGTCCACAACTATGTTTCCAAAAAATTATGTTGAGATACTCCGGAATCTCTATGACGCATACACGACGTATGTACTCAAGTACTGTTTCGTTAACTTTTTCGATGTTCTCGTTATTAACAGAGGCGAATGGACGACATAAGCAAATTGTTGACGACTTCACGACCTGCACTGAGTGCTTTTTCGTAGATTCTTTCTCTTCTTCTTCATTGGAGTAGACACCGCTTACATGGTTATAGCCGAGTTTACAAAAACGCGCCGGTGGTTTCTTCTTGTCACAAAGCGGAACCAATTCGATATACCAATATCTGTCAGGTCCTTCTTCACCTGATCTTTGCAACGGAGTAGAGATCTTCCTTTTTCTTTGCTGCCCCGGCGGGTACTATGTCGAATGACCCAGCCAACGCAGCAGCTGTCTCTTAATTCGCTGAACTATGTCAACGTCCTCGTATGACTCATCGTTACATCGAATACAATATTCGCCGTTGTCAATGCGAAAAGAACCATAAATCTTCCGCAGAACATTTCTCTCGAAAATTCGTAATGCCGTCGAGAGGACTTTACTTCTCAAGTGCCTACTCAGTCCGAATTGGAAGATTTTAGTAAATTCAAACATGGCGGTATAAAGGCAACCGCTAGAGGTGGTGTGTGTTCATCCCCTTTTCACGGGTCTTTTCAAAGATTTGGTTGAATATCTGGTCCGTTGTTGATTTTTCAACCATAAAGCCACTCTGATAAAGTCCAATCAGGTACGGTAGTTGGCGCAGATTCTGGAGTCTCAATTTTTGTCGATTGCATGCTTTCGTCCGATCATATTGATCGGGCAACGGAACGTTCCCTCCATCGTCATTGATTGAAGAATCGGATTCACCATCTCCTGGTGTTATAGTTTCACTACCATTCAGCAAACTGAAGAAGTGCTCCCTCCATAATATCTGTATGCTCTGAGCATCAGTCTCTAGGTTCTACAATAGTATGATCCAGTCTTGAAAACTTCTGGTAGTCGTCGCATCTTTTCGTAGAATTTCCGAGCATTACACCTGTCGGCCAGCTTGCCAAGCTCTTCGTACTCACGCATTTCGGCCTCTCGCGTTTCCCTCTTCAACACTCAGTATCTCTCCCATTCCGCACGTGTTATGGTCGATTGTAACGTTGCGATGTAGATAATCTGTTTTCTCTCCACTGCGATACGACACCCCTCATCGTACCTGCTGTTCATTTGGTTTTCCGAAACCCAATGGTTTCGTTTACACCTGTATGTAAAGAGCTTGAAATGCCGTCTCACATACCGAGTTGCTGATGAATGCTCAAAGAGAACAGGAGTGCAAGTCGAGCAGAAAATTGTTCGGATGTCTGTTGTGATTACCGCTTCTCGACGTCGAACCTTCCTTGTATCTGTGACGAGTTGCCCAGATTCGGTTAAGATCCTATTTAGCACCTAAGAGTTTAGGACAGAGTTTTAAGCTTGTAATAAGATAGATAGTTTAAAATGAGAACGAGGAAATTTTTTTTTATATAATGATCTACTACTTACATATTTTGATCCACGTTTATACCTACTTGTACTATTATATAAAACTATTCACAAAAGCATTATACACAGACATTTATATATATATATGTATTTAGTAGTATATGTACATATCGAAATAATTTTATGATCTAAACTGAAAATAATATTTTTACGATTCTTTATCCGCGCTGTAGACTCGGAGACCACTTTCACATCCAATGTGAATATACGCAGCGATCCCGGTGATGGTGGTGCGACAGTAAGCAACGGCGAAGCAGGGGGTTCAAGCGACGAAAATCGTTCGCTACTACAACGTGGCAACTCTGATGAGCAAAATGAGCGAGATGACGGTGCTGGCGGTGATGCTGGCGCCACGTAGCAATTACTGAAAAAGCCAAAGAGCGAATAATAACGCCTACTTTCCGCTCCCTCCGACAGTGACAGTGATAGTGAATAAAACGCTTAGCAGCCAGCGATTAAGCATGCAAAATAAAATACAAAACAAAAACAGCCAAGAAAAACTTATATTACATTTTATATTATAATTAAAATTCATATACACACATACATACAAGTATATATATGTATACACATACAAACATTTACTTATACATACATACAGGCATATGTAAGAGTAATGTTCGAAACGGCATGTGAAATGAAAAGCAATGAACTCTAACTCTAGCATTCAAGTGGAGTAAAAGTTATTTAGAACGTACATACATACATACATACATTAAAGTAAGCAGATTCACCTACAAAGAGGCACAACGCTGTATATATAAAAATGCAAAGGGCAAAATGCAAAATATAGATATATATTATATTAGCTAATATTCGCAGCAGCGAGCGTGTGCTTTGCAGCAATTGAAGATTTAATGCATTAAAATTTCAACTTATTTTACTTACATACAAACATATGACTCATGTATAAAAAATTCCCTTGGTCGGCTCACAAGAAAGCAAAAATTCAAAAAATATATTATTCAAATAAAAAAGTAACTCCATTTTTATACAATAACTTCAGGATAGAACAATATTTACCAGAAATCGCTTTTTACCTGCATACATACATACATATATATATATATGCCTATATACTCAGATTCGAAATTCATACACATACATGCATAACATGTGTACATAGTATGTTATATTAGCGCAAATGCATATTTATGTATATACATTCACCAATATACACGCATAATACATATTTACATAGATTAGCAATCAAAAGTGCTTAATTAATTTTTGATCGACATTTTGAAAAAAGATCTGTATAAAAAATCTCCTGCCTCATGCACATTTGTACAACTATGACATACACATACACAACTTAGCTCACTAAAGCCGTGTTAAATAATCTTTAAGGGAATAGTAACGCAAACAATCCAAATTTACATTCGCGAGCATAAAAAATTCACTATTTTACAATTTTTTGTGCAAGTATTTATATAAATAAAATGTGTATATGTTATGTATGTTTTTATTATTTTCTGTTCAATTAAGCTGTAATATACATATGTAGTAGGAGCTTGTACTGAACTATTCGATTATGGGAATTTTAAACTTTTTTAGTTTTATCCATCTGTTCAATTTCGATATACTTGTTATAGACACGGCTGGAAGCTACCTCAACGAATTTATTAAATAATCAATCTGATCAAATTTGACCCGGACTGACAATTTCCAACAATTTCGATATACTAGTTATAAGCCACAGTTGGAAGCTGCCTCGATTGCCTTCAACGAGTGACGTTTATTAACTTTAATAAGCTCATGCCGCGCTTCACGAAGCATATTTTCAGTTTCGCAAAGAAAAATCAGAGGAAGCTTAATCCGGTGAGCATGTTAGCAGAGCGATGCCTCTTGCTTCAGTTATTTGAAATCATTCAATTGGGCGGCGTATTACCATAGTGTAAAAAAATAATGGTCAGCATTTTAGCTTTCTAAGAACATATTCACAACTTTGTCGTTTAAAGTTACATGTTAGGGTACAATCAACCAAATATACAATAATATTCGGTTTTTAAGGTTCCTAAAAGAGATTTCAGATAACTACAAATGTACCGAAACCGATCTACTATGCCTTTCTCAGTCCACATACTTGTATATCTCTATATACCGGGATATTCGATGTGAGTGAGTTAGTTCTACAATTGATAACACTACTCAACAAATGTGAAGGAAAAATTTGCGACTGATGAGTATTTAAACAAATTTGAGCCCTTAACTACAACACAAAAAATTTTAAGGGTTAGGAAATTTTTGCTAACACTTTCGATTTTAGCAATTCAAAATTAGTCACACAGCCTCTAACATCACAGTCACCTGTAAGCTGTTGTATTTAATCTGCGTAGAAACGATCTCTGCTAACTCAATAAACCTGTTCCACACACCATTTTCATAACATTTGACTTCTTGAACTTAGAAGAGAGTTTAATTTTCTTCATTTCCTTCGCAATAAACTTTTGTTTAGGCTCTCTTCTACAATATTTCCGCCCTATATGCGACGCTTTTTAGTACAGCATCTCTTACGAAAGTGATCTCAAACTTGTAAGCGAATATTGTAGCTTATATTCTTTCTGTTTTCAAAAAAACAGTGTTTTTGGGAATGCTATGTTACATTAATAGCATTATAAGCTTGTCAGCATTACAGCTAGCGTCTATTGTATAGTATATGTATTTTTTTTTTACGCGTTTCAGTTTTTAAAGTATATGTATGTAATATATATGCATACATAAAAATGTATAAAAACATATAAAAGTACACACGAAAGCAATATAAAATACATATGGATTATAAAAATAATGAATGTTCAAGTAAAAGTTTAGAGAAAAGCATAAGCAAAACATTGAAAATACTTGAAATGTATGAATATTTTCTTTGTATATAAGCGCATTTACATAAATATGCATATATTTATTTAACTTGCTGAACATTGTTGAAATCCAAATTTAACATTTACATACAGTTTTTGCAACAAAAAAATATTTTTTTAACTTTTTTTTTTTTTTTTTTTTTTAGGATTTTCTTGCATTTTTATTTGACAGATCATGTGGGATATCAGACATGGTGTCAAAGA